GTTTTTCTTTACCTGCTCGTGTCCATAACAATAAGGTCATTTACCCAGGCATGGCATGCCCAGAAAGTACACACAGTACTTTTCAAAAGCAGGAGGTCCTTTCCAAAGCTTTCGGGGAATCAGGAGCCATAATAGCTTATTTCAGGAAAAAAAAAAGATTCTCTTTAGTAGAGTCCCAGCATAAAAAAGGGCACATGAAGCATATGAAGCACTATTTAGGTGCCACTTATTCTATAAAAAGGGGGCACAGAAGATTAAAGGTGAAAAAGGTTTTACTTTTTTTTCTGTTGTGTAAGAAACCAACAGCTCATCACATAAAATCTTCTCTTTGTGCCTGTGTACATACTGTCTCTGCTTGACTCATCTCTGCAGAATGACTCCAGACACGAGGCGCACGGCAGCGATTGCTGACTGATGACAACCTGGAGTGTCACGGGACTGAATGGACAAAAACATTACAGGTGTAGGGGTGGGGGTGGATTTTGGGAATCCTTTGGCAAGGGCTCGGTGTCGAACAAAACAACAACAATTATGTCCTTTTTAGAGACTAATGAGGGGCCACAGTTACAAGAATGAACCAGAGGGAGTTCACAGACATACAGATACAAGCCACACACAAAGACAAACACGAGAAAACAAAAGGACCCTTGGCAGACAAAAATACAAAAATGAGCCAGGAGAGAAAACACAGCAGCCAATCACACAAGCACAGTCACTGAGTACCTTCATAATTTCAACATATTTCAGTGTTAATTAAATTTTCAATGCTAATAATTTTGTGTTAATTCTAACCAAAACTGTTTTTCTAAACCTGAAAAATAATGAAAGAATCCTTCATATTGCATCAATACAAGGAGTCTATTTTTTATACAGAAAACAAAAGATTTCAAAACTAACTGGATTTATTTGACGTTCATAATATGGAGAGAAAAATCTCAAGGGTTTTTTTTTTCACCCCTTGAGAGTCTTGTTACTTTATTAATGTACGTACATTTTTTTTTATTAGAATTACTTTTAAAAACTGTATTAAAACAACACATTCACAGCCTGGTACAACAACAGGTTTGGTCTCTGTGGACAGGAAGTCCTTTAATTTTAGCATTTTATAATTCTTTATTTATTTAAAAGGGACAGTGAAGCTTAACATAGTCCAAATATAAAATATCAAATGATGTACTGCACATAGGTTTATAGCTATTGCTCACTTCCAGCCATTGCCCCGTGTTGGGCTTACATTCACAATACACAAAGTTACACCATTCACTTTTTTTAATCACCTGTTTGGATGTAATCGAGGTGTTATGTTGGAGTGGGGCTAATTTGATTGACAGGTGTGCATGCGATGCTTTCTAGAGAACTTTTAATGGGATTATCTCACTAGTGTTACAGAATCCAGGGCATTTGTGCTTTCTATTGTTAGCAAATAAGTGTATAAGTGTTGGTATATTTAAATATAGTAAATGTGATAAATCTAGCTTTAAAAACCTGGGCATTCGTCTTGTAATCGGAAGGTTGCCGGTTCGAGCCCCGGCTCCGACAGTCTCGGTCGTTGTGTCCTTGGGCAAGACACTTCATCCGTTGCTTACTGGTGGTGGTCAGAGGGCCCGGTGGTGCCAGTGTCCGGCAGCCTCGCCTCTGTCAGTGCGCCCCAGGGTGGCTGTGGCTACAATGTAGCTTGCCATCACCAGTGTGTGAATGTGTGTGTGAATGGGTGGATGATTGTGTATAGTGTAAAGTGCTTTGGGGTCTTAGGACCAAGTAAAGCGCTATACAAATACAGACCATTTACCATTCTTTCCTAGTCTAATTGACCACAAGGGCACATTCATAAAGCATCTGATGCTACAGACATTGGTGGATCGACTGAGTGAAATTTGGGGTTTAGTATTTAGTTGAGCAAAGGTATTTTGAATGTTATCATTTGTTTTTGAGATTTATATTTAGCCTTATTAGATTGCAAGAGTGGAATATAGTGAGAGAGTGGAGAGGGTTTGAAATAAATGGTCTGAGGCAGAATCTGAGAAAGCAGTCTGTGGTTAGGGCATAGCAATCAGTCAATAGTCACTCTCTTTTCCCTCAATTTTTGTCTCCACCAAGCCCTGACACCCGTTTATTGTTTGATAATGAGGTAATGAGAAAATCCAGTTCAGTGTGTTTTAGGAGCATTTCTCTGAAAACAGATGTCATGCTCCGGTCAAAAATAAACAGTGACAGTAGACACACACAAACACACACACACACACACACACACACACACACACACACACACACACACACACACACACACACACAGTAACCACAGTGCACACTCCTGTAACAACACAAAGGCTTTCCATTAGTAATAACCTTTCTGCAAAGTAGCGAGGCCAGCTGCTGGGTTCTCCATCCTGCTTGATTACTCTCTGAACAAACCTGTCCAATCAGTCCTATTCATGGGTGCCAACACTCACATGCCAACTCTGACCTGACTGACCTCCACAGAGGGCCAGCCCCTTCAGACTTGACCTTAGGTGTAGATGCTTATTGTCGGAGCTGCTGTCCCCAGCGCTCTTACAAAGGCTCGGATGCCAGAAATTAGGCACTTGAGGGAAACTCGAGAACTCCTGGCTAAAACTCCTGCTTGCAGAAAAATGGCAATTGTAAAAATCAAGTGCTGTAATTGAGGGTAAATTTTTGGAGTCGAGAGGAGTGTTGGTAAATGCGTTTGTGTTTTTTATGCATCGTCTATGAAGTGAGGCAAAGAAGAGGGTTGGCAGACAGACAGATTCAGCCTTCAAATATTGCTAATTGCTAACAGTTAAGAATAACACTTAACATTTTCAACCAGGCTGATGTCTGTCTGTGTTTATTTTTCAGTTCAGACTGAAAACGCTTTACACTGGGTTTATAGAATTTAAAATGCAAATGGCCGCAAAAACAACTTCAACATGTTAACAAACAGTGAAATGACACGATCGGAGGAATGCCAAAATGCTTACCAGACACCAGCTTTATTGCACCTCCAACTTAACTGTATATAAAAGATGGATGTAACCACTAGGACATCACCCATTAACTCTTTTGGTCCAATGGGAGGCAGCTAGCAGGTAGCTACAGCTCCCTGCACCTGCACACCCATCAGTCTAGGTGCCACACTTCATAACTTCAAGCTTTAATGGTATCCAAATGCAGTGGTTGTACACACAGCTGTTAGGCAGCTTTAAGTGGCCACTGAAGAAACAGAAATGAGTTTGTGTGCTCAATGAGATGTTAGGACAACAATGAACAGCTCATTTCAGGTCAAGTTCAATCTACATGATGGGAAATAGAACTATTTATGGCGGTTATTTCAAGTGCTGTTTTGTAATTAGCTTCTGCAGTATTAATATAAAATGTTATCACCAGGGACAGTGAGGAGGTAGTTTTGAATGTTTAACTTCTGATATATATAGATTTATAAATATACAGACAGGGAAGGTTACTTTTAATATATATTCCACTACAGATTACAGAATACATGCCCCAAAATTTATTCTGTAACGTATTCCGTCACGTTACTCAATGACAGTAACAAATTCTCAATACTTTGGATTACCTATTATATTATCATGCTTTTTTACAACTACATGAATGTACTATTACTGTGTGATTTATTACTATTACTGAAGGTTACTCGCCATACCAATACCAACTAGATTTTTAAATCTTAATATAAAATGAGTAATAGTAGGGTGGACATTAGGTAAGGCTGCACTTTTTGCAGCGATCTTGTATATATTCACGCATATATAAAACAGGTCCGCGGCTCCGAACCGTAGTATAAAATTTCAAAGCTTTAATGACTCGACTGGTTAAATAAGGGTTAAACTAAACACTGCACCATCTTGTGGTATGAACCGGTAATACACAGAAGTACTGCCCAGCAGTTTTTTATGTTGAGCTGATATCTCTTCGATACAACACACAAATGTTTTGGAAACACATCGCATTGATGTATTTAGTTAATTCTGCAAGATTTGAAACTGTTTTATCATGGTCTGGGTGAGTGGCTGGAAACTTCCACTAGGTTCCTGAACTTCCCTGGTCTCCGCCCATGGGCAGGGCCACCACACCCTCTACCACCTGGAGCTGACTGAGCTAATTAGGCTGGGAGATTTAAGCTCTGTGCTGACATCTCTTCTCCACCAGTTCATCGACTACCCTGCTGCTCCCAGACACTCCACGGCTTTAAACCGCACAGCCTTTTGGACTTTGGATTTTCCTCTCTGTTTCCTGGGATTCACTCCTTGCCTCACCTGCCTGCCCTCCTGCAGTCCCTCGGTCTTGGAACCACAAGGATCTCAGCTCAGCCACACCCACATCATCAAACTCACCCGGACCTACGTTGCCTCTCCTTCAACACATCCATCTCTCACCTGCAAATGTGACTGTTCCCGCTCCAGTTTCCTTCTCAGTCCTGCCCCTTTGTTTTGCCCCAGCCACATTGCCACGCCACCCAAATCCTGTACCGTTTGTCACTACTACATATTATCCTTGTGTTGATCAATAAAACTCTGTTAAAACCTTTTCTCTGCCTCTGCTCTGGGTACTGCGCTTGGGTTCAGTTCCAGTTACCGGTCTCTGGCCTTTTGTGACATGTTTTTACAAACAATACTTTAAGTACTGTTAAGGGAGTAGGTCCCCTCCTCCCTTAAAGTTAAGGGAGGGGACCTAATTTTCCAAACGATTATTTCAAGTGCTTATGGTGAGAAAAACGGTCTTCTTCAAGGTTTTATTTACATTTGATGATATCATAAACACCGCCCCCATTTTGGTCAAAGACAGAGCATGACACCGTAGAGATTGCCGATGTTTTGAAATAATACAGAGGTCGTGGTGGGGAAAGAAGCTGTTCCCTGAGGGTGTTTTTTTCATTAAGATGCCATCGCCACAGAGATTTATAAGACTCACATGGAAAAATCTCTGCCAGGACACAACCTAAAGATACTTTAACCATTCTGAGATTTTTTTTATAAACTCACAATCTTCGAAGTTTGAGTGGCCTTTGCTGCTTTTGCTTTGTCGAGGCGTTTCGTCCTGCAGTTTGGAAAGCACGTTCAGCACCTTTGCTTTCCTCTCCTCCATCTTGCTTTCATTATCCTCGAGACTCCCAGGCCTTCTCCCTCCAGCCGGGGACTGAGCTTGGTCCCTCCATCCTGGATAATTGGATTCCTCCTCATCTGGGCCCCCTTCGCCTGTGTGGGAACCTGGAGTGAAGGCATACAACATGAAATATACATTTAAAAAGAAAGACCTGGCTCTACCATGCTTACTCTCTACATTTTAACCCTTTAAACATCACAGTGCTGCAAAAGAAACACATTTGTATTCATGATTCTCGAGGAAGGAGCCACTTAGAAGAAAGCACTAAAACCCATTTCCAGGCTGTTAATAGCTAACACTAATTCTCATCAAATTGTTTTTTCGAATGCTGCAGTCACATCTCCTTCAGTCCTTTCAGTGCCACACTAAAGAGCCAGACTTAAACAGCCATCTATTTTGTCACTGACCAGCCAATTACGAGTCCCATTATCTCCAAATACAAAGTCCACAGAATACACTTCTTGGTGTAGAAGCGTAGAGACAAAGAGCGCCATCAATGCAGACTTGAGCTTAAAGGAGCCTCAAATTGTCTTTTGCGACAGTTTCCATTAGAGTTTCAGACTCTTTTCTTCGTGCTACTTTTGCAAACACGAGTGTTTCTTGTGTTAGCACATGAGCGAAAATTCAAAATGTGATACATCAGGAGACGGGTCCATTCATTAAGAGGAGAAAGCTCGACCGGTCGAGTAGATGATGGACATTGGATTCAATAAGCCTCACGAACGTGGTGGTGGCGAGCGTTCATTTATCCTGCGTGCAGAGGTCAGCAGCTCAGATTGATGTAGCCATGTCTCATTTGACAGGCTGTCTTCCACCACAGTGCACACAATCACACGCCTCCACGTCCTTCTGAAGCCCCAATGTCATCAAAACGGGTGAAAGACGGAGAAATGTATTCATCTTCAGAGCAAAAAATTTATCATTCTGTTTCATATGCAACAAAAAACTTCAACAGTGACACGATGACAAATGAGATGAGAAGCAACACGATTTCAAAAGGAAAACAAAAGCTTTGGTTAAAATTCATTTTATCAATCATCTTGATTCATTAATTAAGAAATGACAAATTTGACTCAAAACTTTATACAGCCCTCATAAGAACAAAAGAAACATCAAAACAGACATGATTAACCAGACTCATCTGTTTTCCTCTGCCTAAAATCAATAATTCATTTCTTATTTAGTGTTTATGGTCAACTCCAAACATCTTCCATCGCTCTCCTTTAAAGTCGAGGGCCCATATTCCCAGTTTCCCAGTCTTTCCTGTCTCTGGTCGCCATGCCACTGCAAATCACTTTCAGTGTGGATGGCGCCTTACTTAAGGGAGTCAAAGCATTAAATAAAACTTTATCTTTAATTTTACTAGCCATGAAATGGCTAATTACAAAGAAAATTACATTCCCCTTAGCAAATAGACTCTGGGCATCAAAACAGCTCAGCTGCATAGGCAGGAAAACTATGTAACATATGCTGCCTGGGAGAAGGCCTGTGTTTGAGCCCCAAATCATTCCCAGAGAGACCTCCAGTCTGCATAAATATGGAGTTGCAGCTGTCCCGAAACAATATGGTGGCTGCTAAGTGTTTAATTCTGATGACTGTAGAAAAAGTCGCAGACTTCTATTGTTTTAAGTGTGCACAGCAAAGGAGTTAGTGAACAGTAGGTGGTGGACCAAACTACTGTGATGCATATGAACGGGGGTGTCCATTTGTCAAGACTTTAAAACTGATTGTTCTAAAATATAAAGACGACATTAAAATCACCTTCATCTTCATGTATCCCCTTCATACCGTAGTTTATGAGGTGTTTATATATATATTTTCTTCTGACTGATTCCAAACCTGCACAATCTTTATATCAGGGTGAAAGGATTCAGTATTCAGTTTATTCGTTTTGAAGCCCTCCTATCCTAACCTGCAGTGGCCTAATCCATGAATGCACAGCCGTGATTGCTGGTTAGTTCAGGCTGAAAACAACAGCCCATCTAAAACACACAGAGCAGGTTACCATACCAACCGCAGCATCTGAGCACAGCAGATAGCTGGATTTGGCTGCGAGTGGCCAAGTCAAATCCCCTCGCTGATCTCGAAAAAAGGCCACACACCGCCCACAACACACACCGCCTGCCCTTTGCCATGCAGCGCACCAGCCAGAGGCAATAAGGTTGGACTTGTATCTCTTTCTTTGCATGTTTGAGAAAGGGATGAGCATCAACGAGACAATCAACGTGTCCAGGCCATTCACTGACGCCACCCGGAGCCTTCACTCCTCTATGTCTTGAATGAATGGCAGAATAGGAGCAGGGTGGAATAAAAAAGAAAATCCTTCTCAAATTATTATTCATGGGGAGGGGATTTTCCTTTCAGGCCTCCTTTATCGATGCCTTTCCCAACACGTCACCCTCTCTATCTGCCCTGACAAGTGCCAATCAATGGGCTTGAGTCCAGGTTTTTGGGAAACGCCGGAGGATTTCAGAGACAATAGCCAATGAGTCCACAGTGATGGTGGCTCAGAGACAATAGTGACATGGCTACACTGTTAGTGTGTGGTCCACAGGGGGTGAAACGATCCTTGCTTAGTACATGACTAATCTCTGGCTGCATCACCTCTGTCTTTCTGCAGCCTAATCTGTCCCGTAGTTTCCTCAACTTCCCTGAAACAATCCACTGAGGTCAGTTCAGATTAGTGCTCTTTGTGGCCCCGTACATCGCCACATTCATTTGGACACTTACATCTTTAGTTGCAGCTGAATGCTAAACTCTGAGGGTGAACACAGAGTGACCGAGCAGCAGAGAAACAGCCATGAAACAATTACGAGGGAAGGGATTATTCTACCTATGAATTCCAAATGAGCAAAGATGGACAAAGGTCTTATCGCAGGCCTCACTGGGGAGCCAGGGCATCTTGTAGCAGCTGATTTCTGGGTCTAGCTTAATCTCTAAATCATTCAACCATTTTCAATCGATCCAAAGGGATGGGTGACTCATTGATGTGGGGATCTGGGGTGGAGCTTTCTAGAGATTACAAATTGGTTATTTTATTCAATTCTATTACAGGAAATTCATGATATCAGTACTCATGGAGCTTGGCCAGAACAAAGTAGAAGGTGCAGAAGATTTTTTTTTATGTATTTAACTCTTTTTTTTTCTTTTTACCAATTTATTGGTAACAACATTGGTATTGAGGTTATTGCCTCAATGCCTCACTTTTGATAATCACCACCTAAATCTCCATATAAGAACAAAATAACTTAAAAAGAATGTAAATTGTATAATTATGCAAATAGCTTATTTCAGCTCATATTTTTTGATTTTTGATTTTATTATGTTATATTATATTATGCATTTATTTCTACTGTATTTCTCATATGCTGCTCTTATAATTGTTTCTGTTGTTTTAAATGATCATTGGATTCTTTTCTGTTGTGAACTGCAGTGGAATTATTTAATTGTACAGGGAACTATGTTTTTTTTACTGTGTATATGACAATAACACTTGAACTTGAAATGAATTATGTGCTTTAAATTGAATTTCATTAGCATTAACACTATTAGGAATGAAGTAGCTAAAATTAGTCAGCTAGCTGTAATGTTTGGGTAACGAGCAATTTGTGCATTAAGCCCCGTCACATGTTAATAGTAATATCATTATTATCTTTATTATTATAAAGTTCTGTTTGATTCAGTTTTATTCATATAGTGATGATCTTATTATTCTTAAACTATGGTTTGCAGTATTTTGGCTGGGCCCTCAGTCATGGTACAATAACGTACCATATATACAACAATCATAATAATAATAAACATGATTAATAAATAAAAATAATAGGGCAGGACATATGTCTTTTCACTGCTATAGTCAATGTTAGCCTACATATAGATGTGCTGCTTCGACACACCAGCAACAATTTAACGATTGCAGTTCCATGGGTCCAATGAATAACAATGGATGGCTTTATGGTTTGGTTGTATGGTTTTATGGATGATACAATCCATAAAACCTTTGTTATTAATAAAAGTGATGGACATACTATAATTGTAGGGTTTGGATCTATGACTTCTACAAATGTAGGGAACTTCATTCAGGATGGAAATCTGACATAATCTTCAAATCCATTCTGAGAAGTTGTTCATCACACTAAACCTACAAAAGGGATACCCATATTCTCATGGAGTCAAATTGGGGTCATTCCCTCGATTAGGGGCTTAAATGAAAGGTTGAACTGCTCGCACGTCCAGGGTAGCCAAATCTCACCTATCCACACAAAGACATGCCACACACTGGGCATCTTTTAGAGGCGCCGTAACCTCCAGAGCGACCTCTCCACGGCCTGCTAATGACCCCTTCCCTCTGAGGGTGACCGTGTCTTTGGCCTCTAAAAGGTCACAGCACATAAGCCATCACCAGGATCCTCTACATAACATCTTTTTCATGTTTGCCCAAGTTTTACAGGGTAGTTAAACAAGCAAAGACTTATTCTAAAATCTGTCAGGAACCAAAAAAGGAGCATTTTACAGCTTAATGGAATTTAACTTATTGTGTAACTAGACAATGGATATACATTGTATACCTTCTACAAGCTAATAAATCAATCAGTCTTTGTAAAAATGCCTTTAAAGAGTCATAAAATGCTCTTTACTTGTGTGGTCACTTCTTACAGTCAGAAACAGAGGAGGTAAATAAACATGTTACACAGTAAAGTCAACCTTTAGGAAAGACCTGTAAAACACAGAGAAGAGGTTCTGGGTGTCCTCACAAACTCTTTTTTAGGAGACCCTCTCTAAGTTTCAATCACTTCCGTACCTCGTTGAAACTAAAATTTGTCTTCATAACAAGAGTTTTGAGTTTGTATGTTCATGTTTGCAGAAAAGGTCTTCATCCATAAAGAGACTGGATCTGAATGTACAAAGGTGTCCCAAAGGTTCTGACACCTGATCAGAAAATCTTGAGTGACTAAACTGAAGCAAACACGTATCTCTTCAAATACACAATTACACTATGATGCAAAACAGCAGAACTTGAGCTTGGACGTCCAGGTTGCATCCTTGGCTGCCTAGATGTTCAAGGGCATTTTAATTATTGTCTTTGATACAAAAAGAGAACTTTTGGTGACACCAGATGTTATCCACGTTTCAATATTTGCCCATCTTAGTTATTGGCCGTTTTATTTATTTATATATTATTAACTTTATTAGGAATTCATATTGTTTTGCTTTGTTTTTACCCTCTCATCCTCTCTTCAGCTCTAAAATCAAAAGGTGGAGATTCACAGCGTTTTAATCCCAGTAGGGGGTTGTCCTGCAGGAGGGTAGGTGACGCACTATTAATCAAGTGTGTCACCACATGAGTCAAGGTGTGCAAATAGGCATGGGGTCAATACCACAAGAGGTTTGTCCCACCCTATCATGTGACCTATTGAGGTATGACATTTTTGGGACACCCCCACACCCAGTCCATATCACACACGCTGATGAATTTATATAAGAATGTAATGTGCTTGAAAGTCTGATTGTGTACTGTATATTTATTAAACCCTGAAGCACTTTGCCAACGTGTGCTTTGAAAATGTGCACATGGAGACTTTCTGTAACTAAACAAGTGTTTCATCGTTTTTCATGACTCATACCTCATATCAAGATTTAGAAATACTTTTTATTTTAATGCCTCTGTAATTCTGACATGATCGTAAAAGGAAAAGCAGTGCATTATATTAGAAAATTATTTATCCAATTAACATAACCGAACACTTAAAAAAAAAAAAATAAATAATTATGTTAATTATGTCAATCAACCGACAGTGGCATCAGACATGTTGGATTTGGTAGACAACGCTGCGCCCTGCAGCTCAGCCTTCGGATGCATCAATCTCAGCTGTGATGGATGCATTTGTAACTTCCTCTAGCAATACAGCAGGCCATGGACCATTAGTGTTATAGCACAATGACGGATAATGGATAAGTAAGACACCAGCGAAAAAGAAAGAAAATGATCACAGTCTGACTGATGTGGTCAAATGAAGGTGGGAGGAAAAAGAGCGAGCTATTACTTCAAGGGTGGCTCTCCATTTCCACTGTGCTGACAACACTCCTGCCTGTTTTCTGGCCTTTTGCTGCCAGCTCTCTAGTGTTTGTGGTCCATACAGTAAAGCACTGCTCCTAAACCATCACTCATGAATGTGCACAAGCTGGCCCTACAGGTGAAGGTGATACTGCAGGCCAGCTGGCCCTAGCGAGGATTAACAGGCTTAAGTGTACCGGAGGCAAGGGAACGCCAAACACAGCGCTGACAGTGAGGAGACAATGGCCTCTAATAAAGCAGAGCCGACAGGGACTGAGTGGGCTTTTACTGGATCAAGCGCTAATGGTGAAGATGGGCTCTCGTATTGATTAAGTATTGTTGTAGTAGGCTCTTAGTTTTGAAACAGAGGTGGTATGTAATGACAGCGCAGACAGAGCCTGAAAAAAAATATGTGTTCTGAGTAAATCTAGTGGATAACATACTGTGGCTGGACTGGGAGGGAGAATGGGAGGATCTGAACATGTCGAATGACGGACTTGGGTCTATGATCCATGACGATGGCGACCCTGAACCTCCTTCGGACTGATCCTGCATGGAAACAGAAAGGAAAAAAATCAGTTAGGCTGCTTTTCAGCAGAAACAGGAAGGAGCTATTTTAGGTTAAAGTTTCGGTGGAATTAGATTGACCTGCGTAATGTAATATGCGGTTCTTTGAGTACAAGTCTGCGATAGCCACCATATCTGGAAATTTCCACATGCACATGGATCTTTCTTCTTGTTCTATTTGTTGCCATGTCTAACAAATTGAGGTGTAAACAGCAACTTTATATGTAAATGATTAAATAATGTACCTAGCTATAGATGGGGTGGAAATTAACCCTGTTCAGATGCACATAATGTTCCCCTTTTTCAAATTCCCTAACTGACTCTGGGAGATCTCAGCTATATGGACATCTTGAGGCTTTGCTTGTTTCTCTATTAGTTCCATGGTGATTTTTCCAGCATGGTTGGGCTCAGGTAGTGTAGCAGTGCTTCTAATAATGGGAAAGATGTTTGTTTGATCCTTCCTTGTAGTAAGAAAGCACTTTTAGTGCTCAAATTGAGGAGAAAGTATTTACCATTTATTGTGGGAAGCTGCTGCCACAGGGGAGTGTCTTTGCAAAGACTGCTTTAACAGTTTTTTGTTGGGCATTGAAGATTGGTGTTATTCACTTTAAAAAAACTGAGATTAAAATTCTGTTTCATTATTAAGTGTAGATTTTTGTTGGGGACGCAGATGGCTCGTTCCTGTGTAAGCTGCCACTCGCTGCCTAATTTTTGTGTTTCCATCTTTATAATTTTTTTTTTTTTATCATACATTGATGCAGAAAAGGACCCCCTCCTGCCCCCACCACCAATACTGAAAACCAACACCTAGTACATGCACTTCCTTTTTTTCTTCAAAGACACAGCAGAGTAATCAAAATGAGCAAGTAGGGAAGTTGGTTCAAAACGTTTAATAACGTCGGGTTTGCCTCTGAAGAAGCACGTGAGGAAGAACTTGCAGCTTCTATCTTGAAAAACCTACTAATGGTTTATGAGTTTCTCATCATTGTAAATAATCCTGTGGGTGGATACTTGGTTTCAGTGAGGTGAATTATGCAAATGTTTGTATGAATCCTGCTCTGAGCACTCCGGCTAGACCCCCATCGTGGTCAGGCATAATTGTGGGGGGCTTATGGCTCTCATTCATGCTTTTCAGGGGCTCCCTCTCATCTGTCATAAAGAGGAGATTAATCGTAGATCACGTGGAGCACCTGCATCCATTCCACTGCAGCCCAGCGTGCAAAAGCCCTGTTTACCCTCCCGACCCCTCACCCCATCAAACCCTGTCTGATCCTGGTGGTGGTGCATCCTCCAAAAGAATCCTATCGTGTCGAGCTCTAACCCCCCCACCACCACCACCACAACGACACACCAATGAGGTGGTGTAAAAGCCTACCATACAGTCGGGCCTCCCCCTTCTCCTGCAGCGCGTGACTGATTAACCACACACCTGCTGCACGCCGCGTGCCCTCTGTTATATTGTGTCTCAATTATCATCAACAATTTGGCTTGTCTTACTGGCATGACAGTTATAAATGCATGCTGGTTCAAGTTTGTAAAAGGGTGTCTTTGTGTGGGATGTGTGCACTGCTTGGGGCTGTTGTGCGATAGTAGCTGATTCCTCAAGGTCTAGTGTTTGTTGACAACAAAGCACAGTCCTGCTTTTGAAGGAAATCTGATAGATGAATGAAGGAGGGGTGAGTGTGTGTGTGTGTTTGGGTATGTGTGTGAGAGAACCAAAACTGGTTTCACAAGGGGCAGCGGCACTCACCGATTTGTTTTCTCGGACTTTCCCTGCAGAGTTGAACCTTTCAGAGACGCTGCCAGCTGTGAGCGGCCTCGAAACACCTGACGAAACCAGCAAAGAACACAGCGTCAGGCAGGAGGGAGAGGACGCGATTGTGTGTTAGCAGTTGTGTTCATGCATCTGTGTACATAAGTGCTGGCCTCTGGCACACACTTCTATGCGCTGGTCTTTTTGTACTTGAGTGTGTGTGCTCAGATATGAGTAATGTTGTGTAGTAGTTCCAATTATGGCTCCTAATCTCTGAGCAAATAATGGCATAAAATGGAGCAACAAAACCCCAGAGGAGCACCTGTCTGCAGAAGCGTGCCAGGTGTAAACATTGTTCTGCAGACACAGAGAGAGGAAAGACAGGCTTTCAGAAAACTCAGACAGATTTTGTCTTTTTGTAAACATCGGAGGCATGGATGCATGAATGCATGAATGCTAACAACACCGTGGTGATTATATTTCTTTTTATGCTGGGCATGAGCCAGATAAATATGGTTTTATTCAGCCCAGTTTGGAGATTTCCACTGATAAGACAATTTAAAGGAATTCCAGCGGAAATTCACCCAGAGAAATTTTGTTTCTGATTAAACAAATAAGCCACAAAAACCGTTACAGTTTAAAAAGTACGAGGTCAAAGGTATAATTACATGAAGACCAAACTGACTGACTAACTCTGACTGACCCCCAAATGAAGAGCAAAAACACTGCCATCATACAGATAATGATGATGCAAGTCTCCACAAGATCCATCGTTTTCAAGCTTCCCACTCACTGTCTTTTATTTACTTTTTGCAAATCAGGGGGTCTGCAACTGGGCACCTCAGGATGCTTGAGAAAACCTGCAAAACTAACTGTTTATTACCAAACTGAAGACAACATTCATTTAATTTAGCAGGTTAGAAACTCAGAGTTCTTCCTTCCCACCTTCCCAGTTCTTGCTCACAGGAGGTTGCCTGATTGTTGGGATTTTCACTCTGTTAAGTCTTTATCTAATGCCAGATTCAGGCGACTGTTGTTGTTATTTGCCATTGTACAGATAACTGAATTAAACTAAATGTCTTGAATGTTTTTAGAAGAATATTTTGGCAACAAAAGAAGAAGACAGATCATCATAAATTGTGACGCTGTCAAGTGGTTCACCCAGTAAACGCTTGGAAGTCATGTGACATCCTATCCTTGAGCTCCTGACCGTGAGGTTGGGGTCGCTGAGATTCGAACTTGTCTGAGAGTGTATTTTGTCTGAGAGTGTATTTTGTCTGAGAGTGTATTTTTAGAAAATACACCTATGGTACGAATTTCAAATCCCTATGTCAGCTCGTTCTCAAGTTGTCACATTCACAAACTTGGGTGCACTCCCCGCTTGCCAAGCACTTTGGATGATAATACCCTTTCAGCGTTTTACGGCTGAGGGATAAAAAGACAGCAGGTCGAGCTGAAGATGCTGAGATTTTCACTGGGAGGGACCAGAATGGACAGGATTAAAAGTGAATACATCAGAGGGTCAGCTCAGGTCTAGTTTAGAAGTTTAGAAACAAGGTTAAAGAGGCAAGGCTGAGATGGTTTGGACAGAGCAGGGATCTGGGATATTATGGATAAAGGATGTTCAAGATGGAGCTGCCAGGGAGGAAGAAACGAGGAAGACCACAGAGAAGCTTGTAGTATAGTGAAGGAGAAGGTGCAGAGGGTTGGTGTGACAGAGGAGGATGTTAGGGAAGCAGACAATCTGTTTTTTGTACAGATAAAACACGATTCCCAGTCTCTTCTTCACAATAAAGTACACAGCTTATTAATTCATTAATACTATTAAGCCAAGGTCTGTTTAAACAGGTCTGTGTTTGAACAAAGAAAAAAACTGTCTGTCACGACCTAGTAGATAGACCTGTGGTATCAATTTGAAAATCCTACATCCCCTCATTCACCAAGTTGCGTGTCCATGCTGCCTGCCTGGTTGCTCAGCGGGCTGCCTTTGAAGCCTTTGAAGCTGAGGGGTAAAAAAGCCCAACTAGGGACAAAAGTTGGAAGCACATCAGTTTAATGCTCGCCATTATATTTATTTCAGTTTTATTTATATGGTACCAAATCACAACAACACTTGCCTCGAGGTGCTTTATATTGTAAGAAAAAGATCCTCTAATCATAAAGAGAAAACCACAACAATCAGACAACCTGTTGTGAGAAATCACTTGGTGTCAGTGGGAAGGAAAAACAGCAAGAGACGTTCTGGAGAATCAGACTCAGGCAGAGGCTGTGAGGGACAAAGACACGCTTCATTTATTATAAAAAGTGAACCATCTGAGGTCTAAGTCACCATCAGAGATGATCAGTTTAACAATAAAATATCAGAATATGTCACTTTTGTTAATCCACAACAGTGTTCGTGTCTAAAAGACATGAACAGAATTAACTCAAACATGAGGTTATGCGAAAAAATCTTCCAGTAGATACGTGACAGATGATGAAGCGACGAAGAGCGAGCTCTCTTGATCTTTAGTGTTTTTGAACAGATGCAAAAATCTCAGAGTCGAGTTAAAATGAGAGATGTTTCTTCATGAATGGGTTGAACTGACCTCTTAAACATCCACAGTGTTTATCTCCCTCTCTGGTGCCTTATCAGTCTATAATCAGCAGGGGTTTTCTGCACACACTCTTCTCAGTTTCTTATCCTGTGTTATGTGTCAGTGTTGTTTCGAAGTGTGTTTGGCTTTCTTAGTCGGACTTTCCCAGTTAATGATCTACTCTAGCGGTTTGATCTTTATTAATATGGCACATCCTGATATCCCTATAAACCTTTTTCTGCCTCACCGCACCTTGAGGGAAAAGCAGTTAAGAGCTCGCAGCGGCATGCCTGGGAGCAGATGAGAGTCGATATTACAGCTTGTTAAAGAAAGAAAAAAAAAAGGAGGGGGGGGGGGGGGGGATTTACACCATAAATGCATTGCTTACTCTCAAGGCCAGTCGTAGATGGAGAAAACACACCTTCAGGGTCATATTTTCCCCCCATGTAAGGTCTTATGTGTTTTCTCCAGACACACACACACACACACACACACAGGCACACCTGTCCAGCTGCTGCCTGTTATTACAGTGACGGTTTTTGCTTATCAAACAATCTCACTCAAACCGTCAGAGCAGGAGGTTTACGCTCAGTCAACTCAGATTTGTCTTTAAGTTACAACAAACATGCAAAACCACAATTAAAATCAGAAGGAATTCACTTTCTCACTCTCACACAAACGATCCAGACTGTTCAGAAACATCTTAACTGAAATAACGGGTGTTAGTCAGAGTTTGTTCTTTGGCTCTGAACTTCCTCTTTTGGCTCAGTGTCCCCTGATCATTAACAAGCTACAAGCTACAGGTGTATCTGCATGTTTGTGCAGGGTTGTGTTAAATCCATGGTTTATGTTGCAATCTCCCAAACTACCCACCAACCCCTCTTCCCTCCATTCATAACATTTAAGGTCTTTACATTTCCACACAGCTTGGTTTTTTAGCTTTTGCATGCTTAATATTGCTGATGTTTTACCTGCTGAATCATACTGCATCGTCAGATCGGACCTCGGGGACACCTCCTCCTCCAGCTCAAAGGGACTCAAAAGAGTCTCAGGCGCCGGTCGGTCCAGGAGGAGCAGCTGAACCCGGGACAGGGAGCCCAGATTTCCAGAGTCGCAGCCCATTGTGAGTGCTGCGAGGCCGGGGGACAGCTCTGCTGGGGGAGGCAGCAGATGTTACACCAGAAAAACAAGATCTGAATCTTTCAGAGACCTCTGATATTCTGCAGTGAAGATTAGACAAACAGACCAGTTAGTCCAGGCAGTTATTATTTCAAATATTCATCAGAAAAATAAACTTTAAAGCTCCAGACATGTTGGAGCCATTTAAAATTAATACATCTACATGTAAAATGTTAATTTAGATAGGATAGAAAAGATCCTATAACAGTATAATAACACATGCTATTATAAATATGAATAATGGTGGATACACGTATTAAACATGGCCAAAGTTCCAATAATGGAGGTCATCTTATATAAAAGTAACACCTGTGGAACAAAATCGAAACAAATGTCAGTAGGAGTGAATTTCCTTATATGGTTGTCACAGAAGCAAGCAGCACAGTGGTTAGCACTGTTGCCTCACTTCAAGTTAACCTGATAACAAAACGAGAATATCAGAAAATATCCAGTTGGTCCGACAAAACCACACACCACACCCCAATCTGAGCCTGTTATCAACCTATTCAACAGCATTTATGAGTTCTTTTTAAGTCATATAAATGTTGCCATTAGGTACTCTTAAATAATAAAAGTACTCATTTATTTACTTAATTAACCTATACTAAACTTTCTGGTATTGTATTGGTGCTTGAATCTAACCAAACAGTAAGGGAAACAAAGAGGTCAAAACAAACTTTAACCCCTATTGCTACCATTGAAGAAAACACTCCTGCCCATTACTTCCATTCAGCAGGGTGGACTAATAACCACCCAATGAAGTAAAACTACATACTACACTCCCACACATAGGGGTGCAGTATATGTGTGCTGTCAATTAGTAAAATATAAATATATGAACAAAGTTTTACTGTTTCATTTAAATAAAAAGCATTGCCATGTATATCAGCTGTGCAGGTCTGCTGAGTGGTCAGTAAGTAAAAAGAATAGATCAAAATACCAGCCAACGTCTAAGTGTACAAATGAATAAATTAGTAATAAAACGTCTAAGACAAATTAATAAATTAGTACAAAAGTTCATCTTTTTTAAAAAGTTACAAAATTCACCACCCATTAATTAAGGTGTTAATGGGTATATTTTAAAAGGTAGACAATAGCAACAAGTACCATTTCAAGGGCAGAACAACAGGGCTTTAGATCACATCAACCTGGGCTGGATTATCCAATGAACAGTCTGGGTACAGGCCCAGAGACCCACCCACAGCTGAGAGTCCACCCAAGAAACAAAACAAAACAAAACAAACAAGAAAAAAACAAAAACATGACCACAATATTTCTTATTCTTATTCATAAATCTTCTCATACATCTTCCAATTTTTAAAGGTTCTGTACTGGCCTCCTGTCAGGTCAAAATCTGGGTTCTTACTTTTATGGCCCAACAAGGTGAGTGTCCCCCACCTATATTGTCGACCTACTCCACCTTTATTCTCCAAGTCGGGTCCCTAGGTCTGCAGATTTGGGTCTTCTTGTGCTCCTACTTACTCGTCTGAAAACTAAAAGGGACTTTGAATTTCATTCCTTAGTTATAAAACTTTGCAACTCTGTAATATCCTTAAAAAAAGCTTAAACTGTTCTGGGTTGTTTTATCGGTTCAAGTATGTTTGTTATATTTTACTGACACCTCTGTAAAGCACTGTGTCACTGCTTTCTTGTCTTGACACATGCTATATTTTACTTACTTAAATAGATACAAGTTTCAACAGCTGACAGTCGATTGGCTGAAGAAATCAGGATGAAAACATTGCAGTGAATATTAGAATTGCTGAGAAAATATTCACCTCAGTCGTGCTAATGAGAAATTTCTGAATGCAGATATTTTAATGCTTTTGGGATAGGTTTTTCTTAGTAAGATAAAGCACTCTATGAAATGATTTAGAACCAATATGTGAATATACACTGGAAGGTCTAGTATAATAAGGTGTTTTATATTCTGGGAATGAGGTACGCAGGAAGCCATCTTATGACATCATCTTAATGAGCTGGTAAAAGTAAATTAGGTAAAACATAATATGCATTCAGAGACTTTTGTTAGTATACAACATATCATAGTCTTGAAAGAGTAGAACACAGTCTAATATTTGTATTCCAACCATAAAGATGTTGGAAAAAATAATAATCTGCTGAAATTTTTTTTGATTCAACTGAATTATTAAATTACTGTAAATTATACAGCACAGCACCTCAAGCAAACCACCCCAGTTCTACCCCACCTTACACACACACACACACACACACACACACACACACACACACA